AAAAAAAAAAAATAGAAAATTTAGCCAGGCGTTGTGCCAGGCATCTTGTAGTCCCAGCTACTTGGGAGGCTGAAGAAAAAGGATTGTTTGAGCCCAAGAGTTTGAAGTTGCCTTAAACTATGATGCCTTGACACTCTATCCAGGGTGACAAAGTGAGACACTATCTCAAAGGAAAAAAAAAAAAAGAAGTGAACTAATTCTGAATGCCAGCTAATTGTTCTTATGCAGTTAGAGTATTAGTAAGTCTTCAGCCTTTCTCAACAGTTAAACATTCATTATTATATGAAGTATATACTATTTGATATCAAAACTGCTACCATACCAAACTAATAACAGCTAGTAAGTTTGGGGTTTTTTTGGTTTTTTTTGGAGACAGAATCTCAACTATGTTGTCAACTTGGTAGAGTGCTATGGTGTCACAGCTCACAGCAACCTCAAACTCTTGGCCTCCTCAAACCTCATCCTCCCAAGTAGCTGGGACCATAAGTGCCCACCACAACACCCAGCTACTTTTTGGTTGCAGTTATCATTATCGTTCGGCAGGCCCAGGCTGGGTTCAAACCTACCAGCTCCAGTGTATGTGGCTGGTGCCCTGGCCACTGAGCTACAGGCTCTGAGCCACAGCTAATAGTTTTTGAGTCTTTCCAATAGCACACAATTTTATAATGTGAACTGGCAGTTAGTCCTTCTGAGTAGGACTAACTCACTCTGCTGCCCTTGGTAGAGTACGCTGGTATCACAGCTCACAACAACCTCAAACTCCTAGGCTCAAGCAATTCTCTTGCCTCAGCCTTCCAAAAAGCTGAGATTACAGGCATCTACAACGCCTGGCTATTTTTAGAGACAGGGTCCACTTTTGCTCAGGCAGATCTCAAACTCCTGACCTCAAGTGATCCACCCATCCTGGCTTCCCAGAGTATCTATTTCTAATTTAAGCAGTGTGGACTTATTATCCTAATTTCACTGGATATGCAATATATTTTTTATTTTCTTTTTTAAATTGTGGTAAAATATACTTACATAAAACATACCACTTAACCTCTTTTGGGTTTTGTTAGTTTTTTTGGGGTTTTTGTTTTTTGTTTTTTTGAGATAGTGTCTCACTATGTTGCCCTTGGTAGAGTGCCTTGGGATCACAGCTCACAGCAACCTCAAACTCTTAGGCTTAAGCAATTCTCTTCCCTCAGCCTCCCAAGTAGCTGGGACTACAGGTGCCTGCCACAACAACTGGCTATTTTTTGTTATAGTTGTCAATGTTGTTTAGTTGGCCTGGGCCAGGTTTGAACCCTGCCACCCTTGGTGTGTGTGGCTGGTGCCAAGCCTAGGTTTTGTTTTTTTGTTAATTTGTTTTGAAACAGGGTCTTACTCTCTTACAAGGGCTCTCATCACTACTCAATACAACATCAAACTCCTAGGCTTAAGCAATCTTCTTGCCTCACTCTTCTGATAGTTGGGACTAGAGTCACACATCACCCTGCCAGACTGATTTCCCCAATTTTTTTGAGATCTTCCTATGTTGCTCAGATCTTGCTACGTTGCTGATCTCGAACTCCTGGCCTCAAGCAATCCTTCTGCCTCAGTCTTCCAAAGTGCCATCCCACCCAGCTCATTTTAACCATTTTAAAATGTACAATCTGTGCTTGTTTCAGCAGCACATATACTAAAATTGGAACAATTCCGAGGAGATTAGCATGGACCCTTAACAAGGATGAAACATAAATTCATGAAGTATTCCTTATTTTTATATGAAACAAGTAGATGAGCAAATACACACCCACACAAAAAACACAATTAAACTCATGTTGGAGCTGGGTGCAGTGGCTCACACCAGTAATCCTAGCACTCTGGGAGGCCGAGGCAAGTGAGGCCTGAGCTCACAGGTTTGCGATCAGCCTGAGCCAGAGCAAGACTTTGTCTCTAAAAGAAGTAGCCAACACCTAGAGAATACTTTGTAAATATTTTTTAAATTTTTGTAATGAATACAGTAGAACCTCTGCAAGTTGACCACCCAAGAGACTGTAACAAACTGGTCAACATACAAAGGTGGCCAACATAAAGAAAATGGCTTACTATACTGACACATAAGTGTGGTATATGTCTAGTATATGAAAATTAGGTCACCAGAGTGGCACCTGTGGCTCAAGGACTATGGCACCGGCCCCACATACTGGAGGTGGCAGGTTCAAACCTGGCCCTGGCCAAAAACTGCAAAAAAAAAAAAAGAAAGAAAGAAAGAAAATTAGGTCACCTTCATTAGGAGGGGGCCTAAGTAGGGAGATGATCAACTGTATTTTCTAAATAAAGGTACATTTTAGCTACAATTTCCCATTTCCCCTATTATCGTGACTTTAGGGGAGACTTCCAGATACCATGTAGAAATCCATCTTCTATTTATTTCTATAATTATATGTGGCACAGCAACTTGACACATAAAAAATATTTAAATACCAAAAATACATAACATAGGGTTACAATGATTTCAAGTCAACTTAATTTTGAAAAAGATACCAAAAATAGGCTTGGCGCCTATAGCTCAACCAGCTAAGGCGCCAGCCATGTACACCTAAGGTGGCGGGTTCGAATCCCCAGCCTGGACCCGCCAAACAACGACGGCTGCAACCAAAAAATAGCCGGGCGTTGTGGCAGGCGCCTGTGGTCCCAGCTACTTGGGAGGCGGAGGCAGGAGACTCGCTTGAGCCCAGGAGTTGGAGGTTGCTGTGAGCTGTAATGCCACGACACTCTACCCAGGGGGACAGCTTGAGGCTCTGTCTCAAAAAAAAAAAAAAAAAACAGAAAAAGATACCAAAAATAACAAAGAATGGGCTCGGCGCCTGTGGCTCAAGCAGCTAAGGCGCCAGCCACATACACCTAAGGTGGCGGGTTCGAATCCCCAGCCCGGGCCCACCAAACAACAATGATGGCTGCAACCAAAAAATGACCAGGCGTTGTGGCGGGCGCCTGTAGTCCCAGCTACTTGGGAGGCTGAGGCAGCAGACTCCCTTGAGCCCAGGAGTTGGAGGTTGTTGTGAGCATGATGCCATGGCACTCTACCCAGGGGGATGGCTTGAGGCTCTGTCTCAAAAAAAAACAAAAAAACAAAAAAACAAAGAATGAAGACAATACTAAAATTTGTAAACTCTGTTTTACTTACCTAGGACTACTTTCTTTCTTTCCTTCTTTTTTTTTGGCGATAGAGTCTCTCTATGTCACCCTCAGTATACTGCCATTGCGTTCAAGCTTACAGCAACCCCCAACTGTTGGACTTAAGTGATTCTCTTGCCTAAGCCTCCCAAGTAGCTGGGACTATAGGCGTCCGCCACGAAGCCCAGCTATTTTTTTGTTTTAGTTGTCGTTGGTTAGCATGCCCGGGCCAGGTTCAAACCAGCCAGCCCTAGTGTATATAGCCAGCTCCCTAACTACTGAGCTATGGGCATCAAGCCTCTGGGACTAATTTCTAAAATACTAATGTTTTGTGTAAATAAAAATTGTTGGGGGCTGGGCTCAGGGGCTCACACCTGTAATCCCAGCACTTGTAGATTGCCTGAGCTCACAGGTTCGAGACCAGTCTGAGCCAGAGCAAGACCTCGTCTCTAAAATAAATAGCTGGGGGTTGTGGTGGGTACCTGTAGTTCCAGCTACTTGGGAGGCTGAGGCAAGAGAATTGCTCAAGCCCAGGAGTCTGAGGTTGCTGTGAGCTATGACGCCACGTAACTCTAACAAGGGTGACTTAAAACCCTGTCTTAACAAAAAAAAACTCAATCAAGGATGAAATGACCTAAGATTTGCTTTAAAAACACTTCGGCATTTCTCCAATAAGGGTACAAATAAAAAAGAATAAGAAAGAAATACGTCATCGAAGAAAAAAGTATAAGTGAAACTTAAACAAATACCGACAACTGTTGAATATGGGTAATGACATGCATATAGACAGAGGTTCATCTCACCTTTTCTTTTGTTCATGCTGCAAAGATTTTCTCAATCTCTTCCTCCCCCCAAAATGAATTATTTCCAAACAAAATTACTGTCCCGGTAATTAAACAGAAGTATACAGGAACCAAACCTGGCGAAGAGTCTCAAAAGTAAAGGATCCCCTGACGGGGCCGACGTGGACACCACTAAGGCAGAAAGTGCGCAAGGATCCTTCAAGGCTACCTCTGACAAGTCACTCCGCTGAGCTCCAGGACTAGGAGAACCGTGGAGCACAATTTGGAAGTGGCGCCTGAAGGGTTCACGCCGGCAGCTTAAGGAAATCCAAAAAACTCCGCTAGACAGCTCCCTGGTCTCAATCCAGGGCCCTCTGCTTGGCCCTGGCGCGACGCCTGGTCCCCAGTATCCCTCCCTCTATAGACCTCTGGAGACACCGGGACCACTACTTCAGCCCCCACTGAGACCCTGGGGTGGGCGGGGCGGCCCGCTCGCCGCCTACCTTCCAGGTCCGATTCCTCCGACTCGCTGTCCGCGTCGGCGACCTGGTCCGGGCCGGACTCGTGTGTGTGGTAGCTCACAGAGGCGGCGGGCAGGACAGAGGCTTCGGCGCGGGCGTCGCGCAGACGGGTAAAGTAGTCTACAGCGAAGTCTACGAGGTCAGGCGGCTGTTGCCGCAGCACCTCCACGGTGTAGCCCTGCAGCAGCTCTGTGAGCCCTGGCGGGATCTGGATGTGGCTCATGCCGGCAGCAGCCGCAGGGACCGGTGGGTCTGGGCCGCCGGCGGCCACAGGCTCCGCGCTCCTTTACGCCGACCTCTCACTCGGCGGCCACGAAGTCTCCTCACACGCGGCCCTGGTGTGGCCTTCCTCCCGTTAAACCTCTATTTGGCCGGGTCCGCGTTCCAGGCCGCGCAACCCTACGCCACCACGGCCCGCCAGACGCCGCCACAGTGACTGGATCGCCGTCGCCGGCGCCGCCGCGGGGACCGACGGGCAGGCAAGCTGGACAGGCGGGGCAGGCACAGGGGTTGTGACGCAAGCGGCCGCGGGCGTGCGCGCCCCCGAGAGCGCAGGCCCCCAGTGCGCGTGCGTCGCTGGGCCTACAGCGTTTATGCTGAGGGCCTATAGGGTTCTTCTTGTCAGCTCGGATTGGAGAATTCTGGAATTAAGTAAGGAATGGGGTTGGGTGCAGTAGGTCACCCCTGTAATCCTTTTTGTTTGTTTTTTAAGACAGAGTCTCACTTTGTCACCTCGGTAGACACGTCAAAGCTCACAGCAACCTGGGCTTAAGCTATTCTCTTGCCTCAGCCTCTCTAGTAGCTGGGACTACAGGCAGGCGCCTGCCACATACGTAGCCTGCCCGGCTATTTTATTTTATTTTATTTTATTTATTTTGAGACAGAGCCTCAAGCTATTGCCCTGGGTAGAGTGCTGTGGCATCAAAGCTCACAGCAACCTCCAACTCCTGGGCTCAGGCAATTCTCCTGCCTGCCTCCCAAGTAGCTGGGACTACAAGCGCCCGCCACAACGCCCAGCTATTTTTTTGGTTGCAGCCGTCATTGTTGTTTGGCGGCCTGGGCTAGATTCAAACTGGCCAGCTCAGGTGTATGTGGCTGGCGCGTTAGCCACTTGTGCCACAGGCACCGGAGCCTATTTATTTGTTTATTTGAGACAGGGTCTCACTTTGTCGCCTTGGATAGAGTGCCCTGGCGTCATACCGCACAGCAGCCTCCAACTCGGGCTCAAACAAGCCTCTTGCCTCAGTTTTTCTATTTTTAGTTGAGACCGGGGTCGGGGGGTGGAGGGAATGGTGTCTCACTCTTGTTCAGACTGTACTTGAACTCCTGAGCTCAAGCAATCAGCCTACTTCAGCCTCCCAGAGTACTAGGATTACAGGCGTGAGCCACCACACCAGGCAAGACCCACTGTTGTTGGGCTAAATAATATGAGTTCCATCTATGCTACTCTGCCTGTAGTAGTAAACATCTCAAAGAATTGGCCCCATTAAGTTCATGTCTGTGCAAGGCGTAGACTTCCTACAGGCCCTCACGCCTGTAATCCTAACACTCTGGGAGGCAGAAGCGGATGGATTGTTTGAGCTCATGAGTTTTCGGCCTGCCTGAGGAAGAGGGTCTCGCGTCTACTAAAAGTAGAAAAAACTAGGGGACATGGTGGTAGGCACCTGTGGTCCCAGCTACTGGGGAGACTGGGGCAGGAGGACTGAGCTCAGAAGTTTAAAATTTCTGTGAGGTATGATGACACCACTGCCTCTCTCCTAGGCAACAGAATGAGACTCTGTCTCAAAAAACGCAAATAAGCTTGGCGCCAGGCACATACACCTGAGCTGGCAGGTTTGAATCCAGCCCAGACCCAACAAACAACAATAATGGCTGCAACAACAACAACAACAAAAAATAGCTGGGCATTGTGGTGGGCGCCTGTGGTCCCAGCTACTGGGGAGGCAGAGGCAGGAGACTCACTTGAGCCCAGGAGTTGGAGGTTGCTGTGAGCTGTGATGCATGCTACTCTAATGAGGGTGACATAATGAGACTCTGTCTCAAAAAAATAAACAAGCAACAACAAAAAGTAAGGAATAGTCTACTCTGGAGCAGCTGATTAGTGCTTCTTGCCTGATCATGCGAGGCATCCTTAAACTACAGCCCGAGGGCCACATGCGGACTGCCTAGGACATTTATCCAGCCAGCCAGGTGTTTTTGCTACCGCTGCCTGTCCTGCTCAGCAGTTGACTTGTCCCAGGGCCCGCAGTTCGGCCCTCTGACGGTCTGAGGGACAGTGAACTGGCCCTCTGTTTAAAAAGTTTGGGGACCCCTGATGGAGACCTTTCATTTATTCTTTCAATACTTGCTAGGAGTTTCCCATTTTCCAGCACTTAACTGAGCACCAGGGACAAAGCCTGGAGATGCAGAAGGGCGTAAGGGGCACTTTAGGGGTGACATTCAAGTTGGCCTCAAGGTTTGAGCAGGACTTGATCAGAGGAAGATCTGGAGGAAATCAACAAAGCACAACAAAAGCAAAGGCCTAGTCAAGTCAAAACCATCCTGGCTGCCAGATGAAATGACCATAGGCCCCTCAGTAGTCTGGCAGGAGCTCTGTAAGATGTGAAATGGGGAAAGCCATGTAGGAAGTAAGAGTTTCAATGAGGGCAACACCTGTGGCTCAGTGGGTAGCCTACTGTGCCAGCCCCCTATACTGAGGGTGGTGGGTTCAAACCCGGCCCTGGCCAAACTGCAACAACAAAAAAAATAGCTGGGTATTGTGGTGAGTGCCTGTAGTCCCAGCTACTTGGGAGGCTGAGGCAAGAGAATCACCTAAACCCAGAAGTTGTGAGCTGTGTGACACCACAGCACTCTACCGAGGGCAACAAAGTAAGACTCTGTCTCTACAAAAAAAAGAAAAGAAAAAAAGAGGTTCAGTGAGATAGTAATTTGATTACCATAGGCAGAGAAATAAGCTTGCAAGAACTCACTCAGCCTAACATGTAGTGAGAAAAAAGGGAATAAAGCCCAGAACAAAAAGGACCTTTGTGCCTATTACTCCTCCTGAGTACTCTCAAGATCTGCACACTCCTTTGCCCACAGTCTACAGTAGGCCCTGACCCTGCATTGCTTGACAAAGCTGAATATACTACAAGGCACTGTTATCCTCTGCTCCTGAGGAAGGGGCACAGGTACACTACAGAGGCCAGGCTATTTACCAACTTGTTCCCCGCCTTCCGCCAGATTGAAAGGGAATAGAAAAAGGCAGAGACCTTCCAGTGATACCCATACCACACCCTAGGTGCTGACCAGTGGCACAGCAGGCATAGTGCCAACCCAAGCAAGAAGGGAGTAGCTGTAGGCTTGAAACCCTGAAAGGCATTTGGGATAGTTAAACACCACATGGTAATTATCCAGTATTAATTAAAATACTTACTAGCACCTCCCATACAGGCTTGGCACACACCTAGGAGCTCAGTGCTGCTAAGAACTGTGCTACGGAAAACTAAGCTGCTGGTAGCAGGAGCACCTCATTCCCACTAGAGGCCAGCCCAGGGTCTAAGGCTAGCTAGATCTGTGATTACAAATGGCATTGTCTCCCTGGACAATTCCCTAAGAGGAATCTTGAGCCATCAACTTTGTGGCAGGGAAGGGAACAGTGTCTAACTTGATCTCTTCTGGGTCCTTACTGCATACTCTTGGAGAAGGTTTACAAATTAAATAAAAGATAAATTTCAGCACAGCAAACAGAGCCAATGAAACTGCTCTCCTGACCTCATAGTCTCAACTAGAATGCTTTACTTCAAAGCTATGCTTCTAATCTCAGAATATAAAGACCTCACTACACATAGGCTGTGCGAAGCTGAAGTCAGTGTCCTCACCTCTTCTCTGCTCTTGGATAGGCTGAGCCA